GGGGGGGGGGGGTGCGTGGGAAGGCACATGGAAGAAGGTGCCACTGGAAAGGAGATTGAAGCGAGAGTCCAAGGGGCATAAATGAGGAGCAACTGCAGGTCTGTAAGTGGCAGAGTCACGTGATCAGATATGGGCATCAGACACAGAACCTTGACTGACTCTCTTCAGATTTTCCTTCTGCAGCTCCTGAATTGCAAACACTTTGATTCAATCATTTTTTCAGAAGCTCAAGAAAATACTCAGGCAAGGTTAAAATTATTCTCAGGGGTGTGTTTGAGGGGCATGTTTGTGGTAGTGGTGAGAGTTACAAGAGGTGGAAGAGGGATGCCTAAGTTCCACTTTGGGTGCTGAGGGATGCCCTGAGGGAAAATGAGTCGAGTCCATCGTCTTGGCAAGGGGTGTGGCTGGCCCCCTGGGGGAGAGAAGAGACCCCTGGAGTCCAAGTCAGAAGGGCTGACTAGCAGTGGGGTTCAAACATCTCACCTCCCTCTGCCTCAGTTTCTTCACCTGTACCCCCAGTACAGCTTGAGCTGCATCATCTCCAGGCTGCCTTCCAGTTCCAAAACTTTGTGCATAGAACAACACATTGTCCCCCAAACTCATCTTGAACACTAACCTCAATTTTAACCAAACATCTTTCCAGTTGCAATGGTTTGCATTGCACCTTCCATTTCCCATCTCAGAGGCCTGGAGAGACCCCGTGGAGAGCACCCAGGGAAAGATAAATTGATGGGCTGATGGTGGTTGGGTGCTGACTGCTAATCTCCAGGAAGTTGTGACATCCGTTAGGTGGTTAGGGTCTGATGCCCCTGTTCTATTTAAAGAGCTGTAGCTTGAGAACTTTCCTTTCGCTGGAAGTACTGCCCTACATTAGAAACAGGTAGTATCCATTGACAGAAACCATGGGCAGCAAGTTTACTTACCCAAGGGCAAATCAACAAAACTGTAAGAGGCAACTGAGAGTGACTAAGTTTGCTGTAGCAACTGTCACGAGTATAAACCAACTGCTGCTCTTAACCCCAAATAATGAGATTTCATATTTCGTATTTTCCAATACCTTTGATTTGCTATACTCACATTGCTTTTTTTAAAACAAAACTTCATCAATAACAATCAATGCAAAGAAAATATCCCCCAACGTAACAAGATAAAAGAACAGATGAAAGACCTTGCTTGAAAAGTTAGAGTAGATGCCTGGGAACTCCTCAGATAATTTCCTGTTTACATTTTTTTTTTTAACTTCTGTTTTTCTTTAACACACTTTCCAGTAGTAAATTTCCATACCCCAGTTCTTCCAGGAGTTTTTGGAACCAGCAGACTTCTCAGTCCACCTTATTAAAAGCAAATTTATTATTTCTCTGTTTCAGTTGAATGAAATGCTCTTTTGCATGAACTGCCAAAGAGCTTACGGTTTTCTTAATATGCCCATTAAAGTGGGTAAATTACAGGGACCCACATATCTTAGAAGACAAAGCCTGCAGGAAGGTTACATTCAGTGAGTGAAGTGAAGCCCGATTCTCCAGCTGCAAGGAAAGCCAAGCCCACCCTCCCACCCCACCCCACACACAAAAAGACAGTTCTAATTTTCTCCACTTCTTTCACAAAAAAAGGATTACATTTTCTGGGTGTTACCCTCCCCGGCAGAGTTCTGTAGCCTTGGGCACCAAACAAGCCTTCATTATACCTCCTCCCTGGAGTAGAAAGCCTGGAGATAGCTTACCCTGAGCCGGGCCAGTGGGAAGGAGCATGATATTCAGGGCAAAGATGAGGGCAGCACGGGGAGACTTCATGTCAGCTTGCTTGCTTCTGCTCTCCCTCCGTCCGGCACGATGCTTTGCTGGCTTCAGCCTCCCTGAAACGTGAACATTTCCTGTTTCCTGCTTGTTTGGGTTGGTGCTAACTTGAAGGAGAAGTGTTTGCCTGTTTTTTAGGAAGTGATGTAATTCTGCAGGAGCCTGTCAGACCAGCAAGGATTGCAAAAGAGAAGTTGCTCTTCAAGCACTGATTCAGTGAGCACGCCTCTCGAGCCCTCTTCAGTCCCGGCCCTGCCATGGGCCTCTCTCTCTGCCTTCTGAAACGGTCCCTGTGGAAACAGTAGCTGTTGCTCAGGTGTCCTTTGGAATCTGGGAATGGGGGTCCTGGACCACGTGCATTCTAGATTTGTGATTTTTACTCCACCCCTTCCACTCCCCCACCCCCATCCAGGTGAGTCGCTAGCCCACAGAACTTTCTTAGAGGGCGGAAATGTTTTCAACCTGCGCTGTCCAGCACAGTAGCTGTTAGCCACATAGGCTATTGGGCATTTGAAACAAGGCAAGGGCAAACTGAATTTTTAATGTTTATTTTTATTAATTTAAATGTAAAGAACTCCATGTGGCTAGTCCTGCCATGTTGGTCAGTGCAGGCCCAGAGAGCAGGCCCAGACAGCAGGGACACCATCAGAAAATGTCTGGGCCACTTTTCTCCTTCCCAGGCCATGAATGTCCCCTCCTGAAGGCTCATGGAGAGGAAGAGGAAAGTGCTACACCCATGCTTCAATGATGTGCTCTACGTCTCCAGAGAGAAATTATCCTTTTACATTTACTCTTGTTTATTTTGTTTTGGTTTGGTTTTGTTTTTACGTATAAAGACTTTATTGTTTTAAAGCAGTTTTAGATTCACAGCAAAATTAAGAAGGTACAGGGATTTCATATATATCCCCTGCCCCCCACACATGCACAGCCTCCCCAGTTGTCAACATCCCCACCAGAGTGGTCCACTTGTTACACCGAATGAACCTACATTGATACATAATCACCCCAAGCCCATAGTGTACACTAGGATTCCCTCTTGGTGTTGTACATTCTATGGGTTTGGGCAAATGCATAACAATGATGTGTATTCTCATCACTTCATGCAATGTAGATTCATACAACGTAGATTCGCTGCCCTAAAAATCTTCAGGGCTCCCCCTCTTTATCCCTCCCTCGTGACCCCAACCTCTGCCAACACCAGACAACCACTGATCTTTTTACTGTCTCCATAGTTTTGCCTTTTCCAGAACGTCACATAGTTGGAAGCATACCGTGTCTAGCCAGGTTGGTTTCTTTCCCTTAGTAATATACATGTAAGGGTCCTCCATGTCTTTTCACGGCTTGAAGCTCATTTCTTTTTAGCAATGAGGAATAGTCCATTGTCTGGATGCACCACAGTTATTTATCCATTCACAGGCTGAAGGACATCTTGGTTGCTTCCAAATTTTGGCAATTATGAATAAAGCTGCTATACACATCCCTGTGCAGGTTTGTGTGTGGACGTAAGTTTTCAACTCCTTTGGGAAAATAGCAAGGAGCCTGATTGCTGGATGGGATGGTAAGAGAGAACCGACTTTTTAGAGGGCCTATTTCCAAAGCCGAGTATGTTCTCAGGGGGAAAAAAATCAGCATTTCATCTTTCTTCCTGCTTGCAGGACAATAAATTTCTCAGAGGTTGTTAACAACAAACAAAATAGGACTGAGCTGGATTAGAATAGGGGTGGAAATCCTTCTTCCAACTGAAAGAATGCAAGCAGGTATCTATTTAGGCCAGGATGCAAGGGAAGTGAGAGTGCTAGGTTTTTGTGTTCTAACTGAAGTCCTTTCTTTGGTTTAGGGTTAGGGCCTAAGCATTGTAGAATGCAATTTCACAATCATGTTTTTCGTGGTGATAAGAAAGGCAGGCAGAGAGACAGGCATGAGACACTCATCTGCCCCTTTCCTGCAGGTTTCCATGAGTCACCGCTTTCCAGAAGGTTTCATCTTCAGTGATCTGGTTGATGTAAACACTTGCGGTGACTTGGATTCTTCTGCCCCTGACATAGCCATTAATTTTTTGTTCAGTGCGTTGCTGCTTTTCCATGCCATTAGTCACTGTTTCAATCAGTTCTTATGCACAAGAAATAGTTTGGTGACATGTAGTGTTCAGTTTGTTAATGGATTTACAGTATGGATTTTAATGTTTTAAACTGGCAATTACGTCAACTCATGATTAAAAAAAAATATGCCTTTGCACTTTAGGTGACAATACAGAACAAATGGTGGAAGAAAATAGACAAGTTCAAAAGTGGATGATTGATTAGAAAACATCAGGGAAAGCACTATTAATCAAACTCTTGCTGAGCAAGTGAATAGACCACTGGCTCTGGGACCCTCTAGTGCTGAGTTTGGTTGGCAGTTATTCCTGTACTAACATGCATTTCTCCTGCTGCGACACATGTGCAAGAGAGAAGGCCCAGGGCTTGGGCGTTCTCCTCATTTTGCCATTTACACCCTAGTAAAACCATTGTTGGATCCCAAGCTTGAGGCAACGGCAAGGAGTTAGCCTTGGTTGCTTTGGTTTTAAAACTAGAGCTTGCAGGAGGCTTTGCAGAGTCAGGTATCTGTGGCTGGACCACAGACTGTCTTCGCGGAGGCCCGTGGCATGGCCAGACAGTTCCTCATAGTTTCTGCAAGTGTGCTGTGCATAGCACAACGCTACATCAGTGAGAGTGATGTTCAAAATAAACTGAGGCCATGGAGACATGGCAGCACAACTGTGTAATTTTCTTTTGACCCCTGTGCTCTTTAAGACCCTTGGTGTGATTAAGCTGATTTTAGGGGGAAGAAAATTACCATCATTGATCAGAAAATTGTAGTCCATTGGTGGTCCCTTTGCTGCAGTTAAAATCACACGGCGACTGTGTGGTAGGTAATGGGCGATTTACCTCTGTTTGTTCTAATTTTACCAACCATTCATTTTGGCGAGTGGCCACCCTGCCTCAGATTAAATCCTGATACACTCGTGGCAGGAAGTCACGGCCCCAGTCATAACCATGAGGCAGTGGGAACCCCTGGAGGGAATGGCAGGCACACAGGTAGGGTTTAACGTCACCTCGGTGCCTGCCATTGGCTTTCAGCAATGAAAGGAGGAAGGGCGGTAATGAAGTAGGGTGCCTAGGAAATGCCTTGAGACCTCATTGTGCTCAGGAGGACAGGAGAAGAAAGCCCTTGCTGGTTCTAGGGACTCTTTATTACTTTACCCCCCAAAGTCTGGCTTTTATAACCACCTCTCTGTATCACAGAAGTGCCTCTCATCCAACCCTTTCTCCCTTCCCTCCTGCCCCCTCCTTGCCCTCCCCTCCCTGCCGTCAGCCGGGAAAGAGAAGGGATACCAGGGAACAAACTCAGAGGAGGTAAGATCTTATAGTCAGTGGAAGCTCTTCCTACATCCCCCCTGACCCCCAACCTTGTCATCCCCGCCCCCACCCACACACACACACACACAGATAGGTACACACATTCATATACACACTCAGATGCATGCACACATATTCATATACACACTCAGATGTATGCACACATACTCACACACACTGTGGAAATATGTGAAGATCAACCAGATGGGAGCAAGCAAACGCTGTTTATTCCAGGCTTACTACAGCAAGGGAGTCAGCCACCATCACTTGCATTTTGGCTGAGACTCAAAAGCAGGCAGAGGAGCAGACATACTTTATAGTGGGAAAAGGAAAGGTTTTAGGTGTGCCCTGATGGGATGCTGTTGGCATGGGGAACTAGAAGCACCTTCTAGTGATTGGTTCTAGTGATTGTTTCAGAGGACATATTTGCTTCTCCTAAATTGAAAGCAGGAGAAAGAAATTAGGGTTGATGTTACAGGTATCCTGGTTTGGCTTTCTGGACCAGTTACTAGAGGTAGGGTCTGACTTCCTACAAGTCTGATTTTATAGCAGGCTGGCTTCCTGGGTTGTTTGCTGCAGATTGTTGGTCAGAATTCTGTTTTATATGGTCTGGCCATTGTCTGATTGTATTCAGTCTGTCAACATATACCCACACGCGTATTCACATACTCATAAATATACACAAATGCTCACACACACACAAATTCACACCCACACTGACATACTTGTATACACTTTCTGGGGCTTCTTGCTCTGTTTAAATCCAAACTGGTGGGAGTTGATGGTTCTGCAGTGTTTGCTTAACAAGGTGGCCAGTACTCAGGCTTGGTAATAGTAATACCAGGTGGGCCTGGAGATCACTATGAAACCCACTAGGAGGGTGCAGGGAGCAGGTTCCCAGGCTCTGAAGGAGTGCCCAAAGAGATAAGGACAGGGCAGGGGTTGGGGCAGAAGGATTGAACTGAACCCCAGACTAAGCAGCAATGCTGCAGCCAGGAAAAGGCTGATACCAATTCTACTACGTCTTAGCTTGGGCTGCCATGCAAAATACCACGGACTGGATGGCTTAAACAACAGACTGGCGTGGGGAGGTGGGGTGGAGGGGGTGGAGTGGGGGGAATAGGGAGAGAGAGGGAGAGAGAGAGTGAGAGCTCACTTTCTGGTGTCGCTTCCTACAAGGGCACTAATCTCATCATGAGGGCCTCACCTTAATGACCCCATCTAATCTGATTACTTTCCAAAGGCCCCATTTCCAAATACCACCACATTGGCAGCTGAAACTTCAGCATCTGAATTTGAGGGGGCACTCCGTCCACAGTACCCTGCCTTTGAAGCCAAGAGCCTAAACACGCAGGCTCACCCTGAGCAGCCCCTCTGCACTTGTCAGACCCCTCAGTGGTCTCTGTCCCTGCATTCTGGCTGCCAGTCCTGGTCACACACTCTTCAGCTGGTCACTCGGAGCAGCTGCTGCTGGGTTTAGAGAATCTTGGGGGCTTCCACCAAAGGCCTCAGCCAGAATCCCCTCCATGACAGAGTCCCCAGGGCCTAGGCAAATAGCCTAGTGACAAAAATGAAACTGAGAAGGGTTATAGTTAGGAGCTGAAGTGGCAATTGGCCTGTGGGATAAGGTGCAGAGCTCTGGTCTGAAGGGCCCTTTGGGGAGCACCTGAGGAGCAGAGGCAGAACCTCCGATTCAGGGGTCC